TCATTACCCATCAATCAACTTGTCTTGCCAGCTTATTTACCCTGCCTACTTACAATTAGTTCCTTACCCTCTTACACCTTGCTCCTTTCACTCTTGGCCCATCTTACCGTCCTACCTATGTCTTTATCCATCCTATCTATGCAACTCATATTCACTTAGCCACAATCCAAAAACATGTTTTTAATGATGATAACGTACAGGCTAAGAAGCCGTTCCACTTTTGCAGGAAGTCGCTTATGTGTTGTTGGAAAAACAACGGTTTTCGTCGCTCAGAGGGTTGATATTCTTACGGGCTTGCTTACTACCATGAAAACTAAAACAACTTAGTATTTTTTCAAGTTCGTCGCCATTCTCTTCTCGCTACCGAGTGATGCTCGAATTGAGCTGGGCGACGTCAAAAGGTAACTTTTGATTTTTAATGTGCAGCCGTTATTTGAGCTATTTTCAGGAGAACTGCATGGAATGATTTAAGCCCACTTTTCGACGTTAGCTGCAACATAGTGTTTATCCATGTCTGATCAAGTGCTACTGCCATACCAGCAGTCGTTCACCAGCGGTAGTGAGACATTAATTCAGGTAAATCTCATTTCACTTTCCTGCTCGACTGGCACACTAAATTTGAGGCCTTACTCTTCTGCTTCACCACTTTTAACTAGTCCTCTCAGTTACTGAGTTCTCTCACTAGAAAACTTACCTGCCTTAGTCTTTCAATCTTCCTGCTTTTGCCAGTCTCTTTACTCTTCTCAAGGCTTTTTTTTCCTTTTTTCTGCCCTTACCTGATTGCTTACCGTAACATCTGCTGACCTCGCCTGCCTCTTTTTATGCCTAACTGCTCACGAAATCCTGCATCAACTTTCAACCTAATACAGGGTCTCCCAAAAGTATGTATACACTGTTTGATCGTTGATATCTCTTTTCCCAAGAAGTCTTTTGTCTACCTCTAAGCACCATTTTGTAGAGAGCTGGCCTCAGCTTAGATTTACAGTATGGAGCGAATCATCGGTCGCACTTCATTACTGTTGCGGTAGAAAATTCAAGAAGGTGAGCCATCAAGGGCCCTATTTCGCCTCAGAAAGCAAACCATACAATCAGAAAACATTTATACTAGGTCAATTCAAGCCGCTAAAACCAAATATGATGTTGCACTTTACCGCAGGCTTCCTTCGTAGTTAAGCCAGATAGACCGCAATAGCTGTTTTTACAAGACTTTATAAAATTGTAATTACACCATTTCAAAAACTTTGCAAACTCGTAAAAAGTTGAATAATAAAATCAGCGAGCTTGAAAACCCTAATACATCACTTTCCAGATTTTTTGGAAACTTTTTAGGAAAACGGTAAATCCGTAATGACGCTATAAGGTGAAAGTTCCTACAGTAATCTTACAATAGTGAACAGTGATCCGTGATTCGCTCCATACTGTAAAACTAAATTGAAGCCAGCTCTACAAAATGGTACCTGAAGGTGGTCAAAAAGCTTCTTGGGAAAGGAGATATTAACGCTCAAACAGTGTATACATACTTTTGGGACAAACTGTATATTAAATTGATACAATTGATGTAAGTTTCCTATGACTCAACTTTGAATCACCATAACTGTTTTTTGGAACGCTTTAAATGAACACAGTGAAGGTCCCTTCAAAAAGCAAACTAGCTATACAACTTAGCTTTTGTATAACTGTAACCGTAATAAGAGACAGTGGCGGTCCCAAGATCTCAGTCCGGGGGGGGGACTTTTTCATATGAAAGTGGCTAACGCCACGCACTCCGAGAAGATTTTTGGGGTGCCTTTCTAGTTTTTGCGGGCCCAGCCACTCCCCCGAAAATTTTTTTGAAAGTTTTGAATTTTCAAGGAATTCCAAAAATTACTTCAATCTTTTACAAGAATAAACAAGTCACTTGCGAATTTTTACGACCCGCGTATGTAAAGATAATCAATTTCGTGACCCATTTTCAAGGGGGGGGGGCTGGCCCCCAACCCCGCGAATGGATCGCCGAATTCTTGAACTCTCTTTTAATTGAGAATTTCGAGCCTAAAAATAGCCAACTTTTTGGATACCTCTACCCTGAGGGGCCATAACTTATTCTAAAGTGTAGTAGGATAACGTAGGCACTGCTCGTAGTGTCTCGCTTTTCGTTTAAGATTTTCACATGACACAAAAGGACATTAAGGCCAATCAAGTTTGCAGTGAAGTTTCCTATTTCAAAACTTTCAAATTTCAAAAAAGCATTTTGTAGCACAAAGCCTCGCAACGATAAGCACCTTTTCTCGAAATGAAATCGGCCATTTTTCGTGGATTTAGGGCAACAGCGCGAAAGAAGAGTTTTGGGAAATAGTCTCTCTTTGAAGGTTGAGAACTTGTAAAATGCAAAATCGGATTATCGGGAGTGGTCAAGAAACCTTTCAGAAAATCTGATTAGGATAATCTAAAACTCCATTTTCACATAAAATTGACTGATGAAAAAAACTTTGAGGAGTTGACCAATTTCATGCCCATCAACAAATCTTTGTAGCCCTTCCTCTGCCAAACATTAGGTACTTCACCGCTATTGTCACATAAAATAAACATACATACTCCCAACTTTCAGCTCCCACCAAAACAATCCCTCGCCCTCCCTAGTGGTGGTCCCAGGATTTCTGTCCGGGGAGGGGGGGGGGGGGGCAAAATTGTTCAAATGAAGGTGCGTGGCGTCAGCCACGCATTCCGAAAACGTTTTTGGGGTGCTTGGTGCTTCCGAAAAAATTCTTTGTAAGGCTATGAATTTTCAAAAGTTTTCATTTTGATTACTTACAAGAATAAACAAGTCACTTGCACATTTTTATAACCCACGTAAGTAAATTTAAAATTTTGCGACTCTGGGGGGCTCCCTCATCCTTCACCCCCTCCCTTTCGCCTCACCTATTCAGCTTCCAGAGACGTCACAAGTGCTCATCGCTGTCCTACCGATCCCTGCAAAATGGGGAAATTCCAACTTGAGATCCCGCCGGACATCTGCAACAAGTACGCGTTCCAATACATGCACAGGCTGAGTATCTGCTGCATTACCGCGCGGGGCCCTCTCACTTTCGGCGACATATAGTCCCCTACCCAACAAAGGCTTGTTTACAGCGAAGAGGAAATGGGATGGCACCAAAATTGGGCGTAGAAGCGCAATAGAGAGTTGGAACTGAGCATGAAAATTTATGAAAAAGTTATGTGAGCTGAAGGCGTGGCAGACTTTTTCGTATCTAGGTGGCTATTGCGCCAGAGATGGCTTAAAGCAAACAACGTCATATGTTTGCTTCTCTTCAAGTAGATTCTCCACATTTTTCTATAACCTACGTTCAAAACCCTTCAAATCAGTTTTTGAACCTTCTCGAACCCCCGCTTCCCGCTTAAACAGCCTTTCAAAAAATATGAATTGCGGCGGTAATTCTGCTCCAAGATCGCAGCGGTGCGCGCCGGACAAAGCTGCTGCCAGTGTGAGGAATACAAAATTCATAAATTTGCAATTGTCTTTCTGACGTTGTTTTTCATAGTCTTTTCTATTCTTTTGGCTATGCTCGTTCAATTCGTTCAAGAGCGAGTGCATAGAGGTTGTTGTATAATACATTTGTTGCGAAGCCAACGGGGACTTCATTTTCAAAAATTGCAAAAGCCACCTTGTGCCGAGCCCAGAGCTGCAATATCTTTTCCTACGAAGCTGTCTAGTGCTTCGACAAGGACGATGATTTCCCAAAAATTCAATACCTCTCCAGACTTACTGTTGCGGAACTGAAGCCAGTTACATCCCAACTTCATCAACATTCTCTTCTCATCTGACTTATACAAGGGACATGATACTATCAAGCTCGGATTTGACGAAAGGTAGCATTGGATCTCTTCATTTGTCAAACTTTACTGAACTCGATATGCAGATGCGCAAAAGAATCGCGTGAAGGCTTCACCGTGATCTCGATTTTCGTCACTAACTGCAACTCAGCATTTATACGTCTGCTGGATGCTGTTTCATCGTAGCTATCGACAGCCATATCAGCAACCAAATCGGTTCTCAGGTGTCTTTCGGCTGAAGTCGATCTTCAAAGGTATGTTTATCGCCTTCCCGATTTGACTGCAAATGAATATGCTGGAAATACTTGTGGCGGGAGCTGTGACTTGCTAGGGCGCTTCAACTTACAAGGGAAGGATACTTGATCGGAGTGACGTTTCCATATGAGACCTACACTTTCTTACAGAGCATGAAACGCTGATTCCATATCTGCTTTCGATATCTGCAAAGCATTTCTGGGAGAGGAGTTCTGAGAATTTTTTGAGGTAAATTCAGTGATTTGGCTGATGGAGGTGCTGAGGTCTTTCCGGCGCTTTGAAGGTCTTTGTTCTATAAAAGGCCCATGTAGTAATCACGGGCCCACTTGAGCTTACGGACTAAGGTTTTAATAGATTTCATTGCAGCGGTGCTTTCAAATTTTTGCACCAAAAGTTTCCGTAACTCCCTTCCTAGAATCGCTTTGCAGATACCGAAAGTAGTTTTGAAGTCAGCATTCCATGCTCTATAAGATAGCATGCATTGTATAAACGCCACTTCGACCAAGTGTACATCCCTCGTTAGTTTCTTTTTTTTTGCTTCGAATCATCTCCATCTTCATTATTGCTCTAGAGGAATTTGCGTCGTACTAGGTGATCAAGAATAGCTGCTCCCTCCCCCGTCTTCAGGAAATTCAGGAATGAGTGCCAGAAACTGAGCATTCAAGAAATTTTCCAGTCTTCTTCTAGCACCGAGAGAAAGCTCAGTCATGCATAGAATAGATTATGAAACAAATATTTCTGATGTCTCGCACTTTATGTCATGATGTTTTTTAGCGGTTCATCATAAAATATCCGATAGGTTTTTTAGGCTGTGCTTGGGTGCTTGACAATGGCAATGATATCCTCGGATAAAAAGTGATTCCCTTACAGGTTTGCTTACAATCGTAGAACTAAAGCGGCTTACTGGTCTGAGTTCATCACCAGTTTATTCTTACATGAAGGCTACCATGCTTGTTGCTAATAAGCTCGAAAACATTAAAGAGGTAACTTCAAATGTCTTCACTTACAGCCTTTAATGTCAATATTTAGTTCCGCAAAAGAAACGCTTGAAACACTTAGTCTGAACCTAGATACCCTTTGGCTGCAGCTCTGTGGTTATCCACATCTTTGTCAATGAGCACCGTTTTACTGTAGCTGTTGCAGCCATATTAGCAGCCTTTCAACTTCAGGTCGGAGACGATGATTTGCTTCAATATGTTGTTAGTTTACTCGGTTAGCAAATGATGTTTTCAGGACTTTTCCCTTGCTCAAATGCTATATATCAGTCTTCTCAGCCATCATCTACATTGCGCCATAGCTCTGTATAGCCCTTGAAGAAATTCTATTGTTAAAAAGATAGGGCGTGAAAAGACTCAAGCGAGCGCAGGTAACGGTTATGGAAACATTTTGGGCTTCCTTTTGGATCGCTGGCTGTTTTAAGGCCTACATGTTATCCTCATCGAGTCAGGACAATCTGGTTCGATGTCATCATACAAAGTCACGTTGTTTGATCCGTTTATTCAGGTTGGCGTTCTTTTTAATTTCAGGATTCTATCATTGCAAATAATTGCAATGACCCTCAGCCTCAGCGGTCTATGAAGATCGGCTGAGATGGTGGATTTGCAATCCACATATTGAAAACAAATGAGAAATTTGGGCTTTACGAACCCTTGCCTCCAACTAGGTTCTTTGCAAGAGATGAGGATGATACAAGAATGATGCATTACACCACATAGTTCCCTTCCAAATTGTATAAGACAAATCCGTGATTTCATTTCTCTTACATTAACATTAACCACAAAAAATAATCGTGTTTGGCTTGATCAGTAATGAGCTTACCTTCTTTCTCTCCGAGAAAACAATATGGATTTTGGGGCCACTTCAGAAAAAATTGGGCAAAGCCACCAATTTTTTGGCTTTTCTTTAACAAACTTTGCCCAGCCATAAAGAAGATGGCGACTCTTTTCGAGAAAATCAAAATTCAATTTACTCATTGCTTCTATATCTAGCAACTGTTTTCGTAGCAGCCGTCCGAGTGCTAATCAAAAAATAACAATCATTTTCTCCATCCCAAAAAAACATTGTTTTTGCAGCTTCGCTTTTCACTGTGAAACTAGAGCGACCTTTCATGAGTCCATTATCAATTCATTGGTTCGATATACAAGGTGCGGCAAAAGTCTGGGAGCCTAACTTTGCAGTACTGCAATTAAAAAGATACTGATGGTTTCGATTTCAATTTTATGCCACATGATGCTACTGTCATCCTCTACAGAATACACTTTATTTGGCTGGAAATGGGTGCCATATGTTTGTGAGAGTGGAAATTACCAAACTAGTACTTTTGCAAAGCGAAAAAACCAGAATTTTTGGTATTTACAATTTTTGCTGTAGCTAGAGATGCTGTTAATATTTTACAAAACTTCAATGCACCCAACATAGAAGAGGCTTTGCGCTATTGTATCCTAGTTTTGCTTTTGCCAGGAGCTGTTCTTGCATGAACGGAAAATAAAAGTTTGCGAATGTTACCTACGTGCCAGTGGAAATCCGTCTTCAGAACAAATTCAAAAGCTATAGAATGCTCAACAGGCACTGGAACCAAGACTGTATTTTTTGCATACGTCTTTCAAATTAGAATCTATTGAAATTCGGCCATGGGAACACTTTTTTTACTTTTCAAACGATATTTTTAAGTTTTTAATTGCGCAATTATAGCCAAAATTCCGGTATGCGACGTACACATGCTTCTAATTCAAAATCCAGTACTTTTATTCCTAAGCAACGCAAAAAATTCTTTTGGAAGTATATTGTAGACAAAAGTTTGCTCTATCATGCTGCGCATTTGCCAAGGTAAAAGAAGCAGTTATTGTGGAGGCGTGGGGCGAATTCCATTACGACTACCTGCGTGCCATGACAGGTGAACTTGCCAAGATTTTGTAGGGCTGCGTGGAAGCCGAAAGAGGCAATCTTGCAATTCAAGAACTGGGCTGTATCTGCAATGGTTCGAATTATGTGTGCGCCAAATTTTTCGTTTCTAGGTACTTCCCTTCTCGTTTTGTACGAAAAAGTACTAGGCTCCCAGACTTCTGCCGTACCCTGCACTAGGAATGGACTTGCTACTGTTTGGGATTCTTCGAAAGGTAGCTTCAACTTCGCTATCTATGAGTCTTCATTTAGTTCAGTATCTATATTAGCAAAAGGAATGCGCTAAAGGCTTACCGTAATCTAAAATTATTTATGTCGTTACCGCAATGCAGTGTGAACTGTTAGCGTGGATGAGAAAAAATTAATTTTTCTATGCTGTTTCTTATCTTTTTTATAGGCTGCTGAATCTATGGATCATCTTGAAATGGTGCCTTGTGATTCTGGCTTGCCGATATTATCTTACATCAGAGCAAAACCGTAGTTTCCGGTTCCATATTATTTGGATGAGCAGATCCAGCGATGTTCACATACTGAAGCACCTTACAATCCGACGTTATCACAGAGATTTACAAGAATCTCTCTAGTGTACATCCTATTAGATAGTGAATTTAAACACTCGGTAGCTGTGGCGCCGGTGCAATACAGACTGTCTCATCAATACGTCTCACGATCTGAACCGATCTACAAAATGGTGGATTTTTGGGAAATCATATTAGCCTCGATCGTGAACTCCATTCTAGTAGCACTGTAGCCGTCGCATCACCTATTGATAGATTATATACTTTTAATAATCCGATATTACTTGCCAATTGATTTACAGATGCCGTATATTGCAAATCCTTGCTAGGTATTCATGTCAATTCATTGTTAATGCACATGTTAAATTGTGATGCACTGGAGCCTGTGCATCACAATTTGTCTCAGATTACATATTCATCCGATATAAACTCCCAATTCTTCAACTTTATCTACAACAGATACACAAGGTCTACAAGTCTACAAGTTTGAAAAACCCATCCGGTGCATTGAGCTTATCTTAAATCTTTCCGTAATGGGTTCTTTCTTTTCTCATGCGGCATTGAAATTGTTTTTGTACATACAACATCCTGATGCCCTCTTCTGGAACAAAATCTGGCGCTTGAAAAGCTTGGAATGATACGTCCATAATACTTTTTTTTTCTTCTCATACGGCAAAGTTCTTAGGAGTACATTGATATGTACGAGTCGTGCGCAAAATAGAGCTTCATCATTTTACTCTTCTTAAGCCAGAGATCTCCATCAATTTAGTTTTGTGTAGTTCTTCGTTTATTGATACTTGCTGGATTGTACTTAACATTTAGATCGTGAGCTTTCTTCTCGGAATGCAAGTCTCATCATTTTATCTTCTTCGCTTACCTCGACCTTCTCATTCCTGTACAGTTTTTTTGGCTTTCACTTTTGTGCTCTCCTGATTTGTGTCTCATAATCAGGTTTCATACATTTTCAATTTCACATTCAGATTTCATATACTTTCTCTGGAAATATGTGGATCAATTATCCTCTTCTTCACTTATCCCGATTACTTTCATTTTCGTACACTTTGTTACTTGTAAATTTTTCTGACTTGTGTTTCGTTTTAGATCATTACAGATTTTCTGATTTTGTACGTTTCATGAATTTGTATTGTATATTATGTGGACTTATATTATATCAGTTCTAAATTTTCTACTTTTTCTCCTTTCACTCATATTTGATCGTTGTTGTACGTATCTTAATGTTATTCCCTTTTTACCTCGCAATTCGTGTCATAAAAACTTTCATGTTCTCGCTTTTTTACCTCGCATTTTGTGTCGTAAAAATGTGCTCTTAGTATAAGCTTCAATGGGTTAATCTTTGGAGCATCATCCATATTTGTCCAGCAGAGAAAAGGATGAGAAGTCATTTGTATCAACGGGGTTGGTTACCTAAAAACTGGCCTACTACCAGCCACTCGCACTGTAGTACCGTGTATCATATCCTTTGAGGAGTAGTAATCCGCGAAGGATTCCCTGCCGGCGGTATCCATTCCTTAACCTTAGGCGAGCGCATTGATGTCTGTGGTCAGGGCCCGGCGCAGATCGTCTGGAAGCAGGCTGGACTTCGTTTTTGAAGCAAACAGCAAAGGAGATATCGTTTCTGACGAATAGGGGCCAAGCACCAAGAATGAGCGCCATTTAGTCGAACGCAAGCTTTTCGGACAGATTATCACACGATTGACATGCTCTATCGTGCAAGGCGAAAAGTGCGCGCGATTTGAAAGCAGGGCTTAAATAAACAAATTGCTTGTTTACAGCGCCTACAGAGGCATATGACACCAAAATTGAACTATATGTGTAGAAAATTATTTGCGAAAGTATTATGTAAAAAGATTTGAAAACTTATGTGAAGTAATACCTTTTCCAAAATTAGATCGTCTCCAGACGGCCACCAGACGATCTGAGATCGTCTGGAGCATATAATTTCGTCACTTCACATAAGTTTCGGACCTTTTCAGCATGGACGGATTCCCCGGTCAAAAATCTATCCCCGAGCATAAGACATTTTCAAATCATTGCCTTTCCTTTGTTTTTTGCCTTCATTTATTCTCGCTTTGTTAAATATCGCGCTCTAATGCCAAAGTCTTGTGCATGCGTAGTATTCAGCTCCAATTTGGATTTTCGCTCTTATCTTACGTCTTTTCTTTCAAACTAGTAATTTTTTTCTTGTTTTCATCTTCTTCTAAGCAGGTAGGTGAAAAGGGACTTCGTAAAACTTTCGTAAGTCAGGGGAGACTTCGTTTTCAGAAACCCTAGAAACCGACTCGTGCCGGGCCCTGTCTGTGGTTGAGCGCGGAAACGCTTACACTCTGCATTTCCATCACAGTTCGAGTTCTGCCCACAATTTTTCGCCGTGTAGTGCTCCTCAATCACCGACAAGGGGAGGATACTTGGCGATCGAGGTTTTTTGCAGTGAGCTGTATGTTAGTAATGCGCCTTGAAACGCTAGTTCCAAATCTATGTTCATTATCTGCTGTGCGACTCTCTGAATGAAGTTATGGATTTTTGTTCCATATGAACTTTAAGAGATCTAGAAACTCACAGTCATCAGCATCCAGGCCCTTAAATTTGGATACATCGACAGTTCTCCTGACGTAAAGTTTTCATTTTATTTGAACGCTCTTTTGTAGTCGTAAGTGAACATAACGATACCGGTTAACTTTGTATTAATGCGGTAGTAGAATGCTGCATTTGATGGGCGCGACAGAATGCATGGTTCTGGGCTGTAGAAATACTCATTTCACAACAGGCCATACTTATGGCATGACTTTTACATTACTTAGGCTTCAGTAGTGATACAGTAATAAAGGATGTCAACAGGGCCCGGCATGAGTTCGTTGAGGTTCTTGAAAACAAAGTCTCCCTCGACTACAGCGAAATTTTACCAGTCCGCTTTGACTCTCAGCCCTAAACGTAAAAACTCCTCAAAAAAAAAGCGAAACGTCTGTTAAAAGTAGCGTCGCAATTTTTGGCAGCAGAAACGATATCCCCTTTGCTTTTTCTACCGAAAACTAAGTCCATCCTACCCCCATACAATCTGTGCCGAGCCAATTCAGTCGCAGACGTTGAAGAATGATGACGGCGCCATAATCGCCATCATTCATTCTTCAACGTCTGTGACTGATAGTTTTCGTCAGTGTAGCTTGCTCTTGATGATTAATAACAGCTTTAAGGTGCTAGAACGAGTCGTCTTTCTATCAGAACTCCTAAGGAACACTATTGCGAAGGTATTAGGTTGGTGCAAAAGGAATGGCCGATTTGCGAATTCTCACTTTGACGTGCTATAACTTTTGGAAGAATTCACATTTCCGAATGCGGTAAAAACTATCAGAAGCAGCAAACCTTCTGCAATGCAATTTATTTATACGCATATCACGAACGGGCAGAAAAATATGGACTGAAAAATAAAAAAGGTTCTTCTGCTAGAACCTTGTCTTTGACAATTCATATCTTCCTTCAAAGTTTGTTAGTATAAATGTTAAGTAGCCTATCTTGTAGCCGCAAGCCAGTAGTACAAAACGCAATAAAAAGAATTCGGACAGAAAAGTTTGCGAAAAAGAAAAAAGTTGAAATTTGAAATTTCTCACTTTTTGAACATTTTTTCAGTGTGCCTCAAAGTCTCGAATATAGAATTTTTTGATTTTCTAGGTACTGAACAGCTGGATGTTTTTGCAAAAACTGCTAACAGGATGCCCTAGCCCTACGCTTACAGAATTGAGCAAAGCTCCGGCGATTGACTTCTTCAGAAGAAAATTATGGGTCATAAAATGACCGCAACAGCTACCCATGTTTAGGCGCCGATATTTCAGTCTGGATAGCCTCAAAGAACACAGTCAAGTATGCATAATGTAGACAATTTCTATTACATACAATAGCTAAATTTTCATGCATAATGTAGACAATTTCTATTACATACAATAGCTAAATTTTCGAAGAAATCTCATTGATACGCGCTTAAATTCTGGCCGGAAAAGTGAATGCAATGAAATTCTGAATTTGGATGCGGTTATTTGAAGCTAAGTAACTTTACAAGAAATGGTGATGAGAGCCCGTTTTAAGCACCGTTAGATAGAGCATGAAAACAGCATCGCGATGGTATACTACATCTATTGTAAAGAAGAAGAATTGATGGGGAAAAGTTGCCCTGAAAAAAGGCATGGAAAATCGGCCATTCCTTTTGCACCAACCTAATACAAAAGAAGTCCTTCGAGAGCAGTACAAGCATCTATGAGCAGCTAGTAGAATTAAGTAGACTCTCTGTACAATAATGAAACTACCTCGCTTAGCTAAGTCATGACACCATACATTCTACTTAACAGTGCATTCTTTTCCCCAGTAGTCGGTATACATTTGTATCCTTACTTTGTTGATGATTTTGAAAGTATTGTACTCTCGCTTGTCTGAGTGAGATGTTGCGTCGATGCACATGAGATACACTTTTTATGATACTTTTTCAAAAAATCTGTTCAACGAGAATGTTTTTCAACATTCTCAATGAGATTTCTATACAAATCTGATAGCTCTAATTTAGGTGAAGATTGAGAAAACAAAAAAATTTCAAAGCCGTATCTCTAATGATAATAAATGAGAATTCAAAAGAAGGTTAACACAGCTGGAAATCAAGAAGTAGGAAAGAGTCTCAAAATTGCTTATGAGCTGATTGTATCAGTGATGCGCGCAAAACTTCCTCAGTTTAGGTTGGTTTGGCAGATTTCCACATGTAATCAGAGATAGTATGGCGCAGTTGGTGGTGTTGCGGGCTCATACATACCGGAGGGATCGATCCTTCCCAAGAACAATTGCTTTGCAGAATACACATCCACTTTGCTGCAAAGAACGTGCCAGGTACCGGTACCTGAAACTTGGATAACTAAACCGGAAAAAAACATGCAGAAATTACCTAAACTTTCTATCTTTATCATAAAGC